ATTTAATAGTTAATATGGTGTAATGTATAATATATGTTATTAAGTATTATGTCAACTTTTCTGTATCATTTTAAAACGGAAAGGATCAGCAATATATTGGGATTTCCGAGGGAATCCTTGTTATCGTGAAAGTTTGTCAATAACGTGAATAGAATTTTTGGTAACCTGCCTATTGACAACGCCTTCGAATTAATTTCTGATAGCTCGCTGTTACTGCCAGCATCATCAATATTGCCATCAACATCTTTGAAGTCTGAGAAGAACGCACCTAGAAAGAAAAGAAAAACCGATGATAACCAACTATATTTCTTTTTATTTTTAAAAAATTATAAATTATTTTAGTTTATAAACATAATATAAATTATTTATAAATTTTATTATATGAAATATTTTTTTTTTTTAATTTTATATATATGGTAAATGTATTCTATCTAAAAACTATTCGATATTTTACAAGTTTTTAATAGCTATATTAGCATAAATGTATGTCGTGCTGCTTATTTCCCGTATGAAGAACTATGAAGAACTTATTTCTATTACAATTTGTACAACATTTGTAAACAATGATTTCATTTTCCAGAGAAAGAGAGGAGTGTTGGTTGAGCAACCAAAACACATTTCTTAATTGAATACTAAGTGATTTCCTTTTGTTAAATAAGTGCGCTTTCCACATTACACCTCTGTCTAGATGAATTCCGAAGTATTTTGAAGCAGTTGATTGTGGTACCACAATATTGTTGAGTTTTATTTCCAGACAAGTTGCTCTTCTTAATGTGAAAGTGGCATGAGAAGACTTGGACTCATTTGCTTTTATACGCCAACACCTAAGCCAAATTGATATATCATCGAGACTATCTTGTAGCATCAAAGAAGCGGTTCTTGGGTTTTTTGAAGTAGATTGCTTAGATTGCCGTGTCATCTACAAATGTTCCAGTGAAGATATTAGTGTTTGCTGGTAAGTCGTGCGTAAATATTAAATATAATAAGGGACCTAATAAGCTGCCTTGTGGTACTTCAGCTTTTATGCAGTGAAGTGATAAGATATGATCTTCAAACTTTACATAAAAATAACGTTTTGAGAGATATGATCGTAAAAACATATAAAAATTAACTGGTAGTATCATTTTAAATTTATAAAGAATTCTGCCACAAGCGATCAAATGCTTGTAAATTATCCAAGAACGCTGCCGAGCAATATTCCTTTTGGTCAAACGCCGAGTGTATTTTTTCTACTATTCTGTGTACCTGTTCTATTGTGCTATAACCTTGCCTGAATCCAAATTGATGATTTGGTATAGTTTTAATTCAGATGCGTGGTGTGACAATTCGTCGGTATTCCAAAGAACAAATTTCATTGACATGGTGTTGTTTTGGAAATAAGGGTTACTACCAGACTTGTCATTGCTGTAATTTGACTCATTATTTTCTTCAGAAATTTCATCATTTCGCGTTATTCTCTTAGAAGCGGATCATCTTGTTAATAAGCATTGTTTGTTTCAAAAGTTTCTGTACTTAATTTTTTTTTTGTTTGATTTGATTGGGTACTTGCCTCTTGAGCGTATGTAAACTTTGGCTGGTTCAATTGTTCGTTTTGTTTAACAGATTGTTTCACAGAGTTTTTTCTTTCAAGTTGAGAATGCAGAATTTTTTCTCTTAGTTTAGGAAAAGTGCTTATTTGCATTTTTTTATAGACAGAGCATCCTTTGTAATTGCAATTTAATACACTTGACCTAGATTTCTAGTACAATCAGCTGAGGCATAATCACTAGCACACTTTATGCACTTCGGTTGTCGACGGCAGCCACATTTTATAATATACTCTGCTATTCGGAAAGGAGATTTTACTTCCAGTTCATATATTGATGACAGTATTTATTTATTATATTTGAAATTTGAAATATTTAAAATATTGACAAAAATTCAAAAAGAAAATCAGTATCACTCAAACTGTCATACTGTCAACAGTTTGAAACAGAAATTCATAAATTTATTATTTATGTTAAAATTAGTGGTTTTTCCAATATTTTATAATATATTCTGCTATTCAGAGCGAAGACGAATCCAACAAATCAAAGATAATTAAAATGGGCGCAACCGTTCTTGAGTTATAAGTGGTCTAACTAACATGACTTTCTTTCATGTATATAGATTAGTGTTAGTTTAAATTAGTTATTTGTTTAAATAAAACTTACTGAAAATTTGAACTAAATATAGCCTTATTTCTTGTTCATTTGGATTGTGGTTGTTTAGTGTTCAAACTTGTTTTGAAGCCACCTGTTGTTTTCTCAGAATTGATAGAATTATAGACCATTTTTTTTGGAAATTCTCTTTACATACTTTTTTCATTCTTGTTCTTGTTTTCTTTAAATGTTCCTTTGCATATGGAACAACTGCTGCATTTATATTGTGAAGAATATTACAAATATTATATACTAAATTATTTAAAATTTCAGGTTTATCCATGCTGAATTATTTTCTCCTAAGAATACAACATTTAATGTCAGCTGTTTATAATTAAAATGTAAAGAAAAGCTCTACAACTGGAAATTTTTGACACATAAAAGCTCTTTTTCAAGACTTTAGTAACTTGTGTTAATGTAAACGACAAAAAGCTCAATGTTACTAAGCAACTTACAAAGTAAGCAGTGAAAACGCTGTATAATCATATGTTCACACTTTTTAAGTACTTTCACAAAATATTTTCTTTGGACATATGATATATACATATGAAAAATACTTTGCTCATATAATATGTACATATGATAAATAACAGTTTTGTTAAAAATTTTGTTGATATCTCAAAACTCTTCACAATAGTATAAGTTTGTATTGCACAATACTATACTACGGTGAACTGTCCGAGTTAAAATCAACTTGATTTTTTAGAAATTACGATTCAATTTTAATTTCAGCTGTCAAAATTCTCAATCAAATCTTCTTGATTTGAAATTGTTTTGCTATCGAAATCAAGAATAATTCGAAATGACAGCTAAAATTACAAACAAAACTATCGTGTGAATCCAATATTCGTTTGTGTTATACATTAGTAATTAATTTATGTTGGGGGAAATTGTTATCAATTTTCGTAGTAATTATTAATGATTCATTGGTAATGAAATGATCAATTTTTAATTTGTTAAAATGTAATTGAAATGTATAGTGGTTAATTAAAACAAAAAAAAAGCAAAAGATGCAGAAATTTTTTATTTCAGAAGGGCAAGAAAATACTCACAACTTGAGAAAGAAAACATGTGGAATAACAACAAAATCTTCAAATTTAGAATTTACTTGCGAACAAATTTTCATCTAAAGTTTCAATGCAGCCAAATTAAAAATTCAAGCTATTGTGAATGTTCACTGGAAATATGCGAAATTCCAGTTACCCTTAAAATCATATGACCGTTTTATTTACTAATGAATTCAAATTCATAAATTATTTAAGTCAAATATATGTATAAGATAAAAATGGGTGTAGTTATCTTTCTAATATTTATTTTGTTTTCTTTTATATGAACTAATTAATTTTTAGTGTTTACAATTTATATATATCATATTGTACACAGTATAACAAAAAACATAAGTCAAAAATAACCATTTTACATATTCTAAAAGTGGTAGCAATTGAGTTCTACCAGACTTAATGCTATATTTTTACAACTCTGAAAGAAAATTATTGCGGCTAATAATAATAATAGTAGCCGTAATTTTTTCTTTTGCGGCTAATAATAATAATAATAATAGCCGTAATTTTTCTTTTAGAGTGGCAAAAAAAATAATTAGTTCCGCTAAGCGGAATATTGGCATCACTGTGGCAATCTGTCAAATGTTGTGTTTTCGCAAGGAGCATATATAACATATGTGCACATTAAACAAGCAAATTATATTTTCTGTAAAAATAAATAACTAAACTAAAATTAAAATTTAAAATCAATAATGAATTTAGAGCAATGGTACGAATGCAGAAAATTTTGGAATTTCCTTTTACAACAAAATTAATATAGTTTAGTTAAATAATTTAAAAAGTTAAGAAGTTTAAATCGCTTTTCAATTATATTTTCTTCATATACTTTTAAAATTTTTTGTATAGTTTTAAAATATTTATTTTTCAAATTTGTGAAACTTTAATTTTTTTATTTTTATTTACAAATTCTTAATATATGACTGGCCACTTCTTAGCTAGTTGCTTAGATAAGGAAAGTAGTGTTGTTGCATTAGCAACTTTAAGCAAACAGCTCGCAGTTTTTTGCCACAAATTAAAGCTGCTGAAAGCACCTAATAAAAAGCTATTTGATAACTATCTAAATAAAAAATTAACTCATTTCGTTGTAAATTTATTTAGTAAATGCAATACATATATAAATAATATTGAAGTATTTTTATTACAATTAAATAAATGTTTTAATGTTAATTTTTGTTTTTATTATAGGCTTTAGATCATTAAAAACACTTATACTATTTATAAAAATACATAGTTTTTTTCATATATAAATAAACAGATGTTTAAAAGTTGGTTTATTTATAAACCATCTTGAGTATTATTGAAGTTTTTCCTTATTAATTCAACAAAAGCCAAACCATCATGTGAGACATATACGTAAATGTATTCAAAACAAAATATTATATGACAGCGGGTGTTGTTCTTTGACAAATTGATAAAATTGAATCTCAAAAAAAAAATAATAATCGCTGAATGTTGCTGAAGATGTTGCATACAATTTATTTCTCAAATGATCTATGTTGGTAAACAATTGAAATTGATACCAATATTTACAAAAATATTAATGTTTAGTATTATTTGTATTAAGTCAAATTTTTTTACCCAATATATTTGGTTAATCGTCGCGTAAAAATTGTTTAATTCCTACGAAAACATTTTGTGCAGGTAATATTTTCTCTGGTCGCACAAAATGATCTTTGGTTTGCGTCTAAGCCAAAAATATTTCTCTGGTTGTGCATTCTGCCTAAATTAAAGCATGTGATGCAAGTGGTAGAATTGTCAAAAAGTGTCATTCATCGGTAGTTCGATTAATAGCCACGAAGTTTGGTGTTCGTGTAATAATAGCAAATTTTCGTTATAAAGTGAATGTAATTAGCTGCAATTAATTTTATTAAAAACATATTTCAAATTTTTAGAGTCGCAATTTTACAAATTCTTTGGATTTGCATTTGTTTTTTTTATCGTGTGTTTCGGAAACTTTACGTGTCTCAGGTAACTGAAAATGGAAGCCATTTCAATTTTTTGTTTGTATCAAAAACTAAAAATGAAATGCAATAGATAACAAAATCCTAGAATCTCCGTATATTTTTAATTAACGATATAAATACTTTGTAAAGTATCTCTGTTTTAATATGTGCAACTTTAAATCAGTATGTTGCTCTATGTAAAATGGAATATAATCTTCGTAGTTGTATTGTTGAGAGAAAGGATTGCATCTGATTTTCTTAAAATTTGGAGTTAATTTTTTTTAAATATTCTAACACAATGTACTTTTTATTAATCTTATATTTTTGTAGTATTTGAATAGCAAAAATATTCTCTTTGTTAACAAACTTATATGTTTATGTGATGAAAACGTGGTTAGAGTAATTATATTAGTATGCAAATCTGTTTAGAGAGACCTGTGTGCAAGTTACACTCAGTACTTAATTAATTATAGTTACCTTCTCCGGCATTGTCTTCGCATAATAAGTGAAGATGTTTGACATTTGAATTTCGTCTGTTTTTAGTTTAAAAACCATAGTCAATGAGTTTAAAATAAAATAAATTTAAATTTTGCGTTATCAACTAAAAACTCAAAAGTGCTACGTACACGTCCCTAAGCGTAGTACCAACATCAATTTCGCACGAAAATATGACATAAAAATCTATATAAAAAAAACAAACATTTTTTTTATATTGAGTTTTATATCAGGTTTTCAGAGAAATGAATCTTAATAATAGGCTTTAGAATAATAACGTTAATACTTACATTGACTAATATTAAAATTAGTATTACTTTGTTAACCCAATTTATATAGCATAGTAATTTGATTTAAAATTATGTTTTGGCACATTTTGATTTGGACTTAGTATTACTTTACATTAAACACAGTTTTCAACAGATAATATATAATTATTTATATATTACTTCTTGACTTGATTTGTAAATAAGATATATCTTATCTAAGTCAAGATGTTTATAAAAGGATTAAGAAGATATCGTAGACTATATATACACAGTGTTTCTTAAATGAGAGGTGATTGGTCTAACAAACGAAAGAAATTAAATTCAAATTTAAAAGAATTCAATATTTAACGGCGCCAAATGAACGACAGAATTCTCACAATATCGCATAAACAATACATTTTAGTGACTTAGGTCATTCACGAGGTTCTAAACCATTGAGCATCCTTTAATATCTCTTCGTAATATCTCTTAGACATTTATTGTTTCAAAAAAATTAGATCATTTTTATTTTATATTTTTGTTAAATTATCTTTTACATTTGTAAATCAATAATTTGTTATGAACACCTCATTATTTTTTTTATTACATATCAACTTTCTTTTTGAATATTTGTTTCAAAACAATTTTACCTCAATAACGCATAGTGTTCGTATAATCATTCGTTGAAATGAGATACCTCATTTATACTAAAAAAAATTTTTAGTTCGTATATTAATACCTTATTTTTTTTTTTTGTGAATATTTTATGCATAATGCGACATTTTCCAGTAATTAAGGCGAGTTATCTTTTATTTTCTACTAAAACTTATTCATTTATTCTAACTTAAACACACGAAACGAAATACATATTTTTTCACATCCTGTTCTTGGTGAATATTGAAAATGAGAACTTCTCACATTCATGAAACATTGCTAGAAAGCATTTTTTGTAATATTTCTGATCCGTAAAGTTAGAGAAATGAATCATGCTTATGTTGGTAAACAAAAGTTTAATGCAGATCCCTTATAATATAATAATTTTGAGAGTTTTCGAACTGCTTAATAGGGAAATTTTTCTTATCAAAGAACACAATGTTTGATAATTCGCCACGTTCCTCCTTTGCTCTTTCGAGTCTGACTTTCTGTTGCTTTGGTGTAAGATCTTGTGCCTTTTGGAACTTCTAAGACTTTAGCTTGAGCTCATTTTGGAAAATGAGTCGGATCTGGGATATATTCAGTTCTTTGGCCGTTTCATTATCACTACGACGTGGATTTCGTTCACTTTCCGAAAAATTTCAGGTTATGTTGCTGTTTCTTTACGCCCGCCACGATAGCGTTCGACCACTCTGCCTCTACTATTATAAAGATGGTAAGATTCGAAACATTCTATTCACTTTGCGGTGTTTGAGCTAGCTGGTTGTGATTTTTCAGCCAAATATAATGCGATCACATTATTACGTTTGAATTCCATTTCAAATAACTATTGCTCTATAAAACTTATTGTTTTGGAAGATTGTAAACAATATAAACAGCTGCCATTCATATGAATTGTACGTAGTTGGTTCACGTATATGAGTTTGACAGTTTACCTGGGTGAAGTTGGTAACACTTCAATTGCCTGCGGTTACTTTGCATGCGAATTTTTACTTGTCTGTTCGTACAAGCAAATCAAATGTGTGTTATCATATGTGAGTGGTTACAGTTGCTCATTAAACAAAATATTTTGTTTCAAATTCAATCGGTCGTGCGAAAACAAAAGTGAAAATTAAAAGGTGTGTGTTGTTTTCATTCAATTCCAATTTTATAAAAGGAAATACATTTGAAAACATGTCAATTTTAGAAAATGTATTAGGATTTGTTAATTTAATTAGTTGGCGGCTTTATGAAAACTTAAATTTTTTATTGTGAATACATTCCTAAGTATTAATTAAAAAAATTAATTCATTTTAATTATAAATAAAGGAAAATATAGCTTGTTAATTTACTCAAAATGAAAATTTGCCATAAATATACAATAAAATATATATATATTATATAAAAAAAAATAGTAAAACATAAATAATATACACTAGTCGGCATAAGTATTTTCACAAAATAAAAGTCTTGCATTATTCAGTTTAACGTTGAAATGACTATAAAGCTTTCTTGTTTTTCTATTTGTTTTTATATAAACTTTATATTAAACAAATATTTTTTCATAGAAACTGAAAAAAGTATAAATTAATTAATAATTAAATATACTGGCATAAGTATTTTGACAAATATATTATACTAAGATACAAAGTTTAAATTTAACGAAAGTAAAGAAAAGAAGAAGAATTTAGTAAAATGTATAACCTACTTTACCTTCAAAAACTTTTTAAAGGCGTCTGGGTAGTGAATCCACTAAATTTTGAAGAATCTTTGGAGATATCTCTTTCCAAAGGGAAGTGAGCTCAGAAATTGTCTCTTCTCTGATTTTATTTAACGAAACTGTTCTTTTTCATTTCAAAAGAGACCAGTCGTTCTGTTTAAGATTTAAATCTGGACTTTAAGGTGGCTAATTCAAAACTTAAAAAATATTAGCTGTCATCCGAGTTTTGTGGCATGGGATATCATCCTGTTGCAGGATAAGTGATTCTCCAATTAGTCTATCTCCAGAAGAAAAATCATAGTCGTTTAGGGTAATGAAATATTGACCTTGGTTCAGCAAGCTCATTATACGCAACACATTCCCAGAACATGACTGAGCTGATTGCTTTAATTCGGCAAAAGATCTGACAAACTCTCCATTTTTGTTTTGATGAATGAAAATTATGCACTCATATTCTTATTTTTTTGTTTGAAATTAATTAATAATTTAATAACGTATTTTCCGCTAAATATATTGGAACTTCACTATGCATTTTGTTTTCAAAACAGAACTTTTAATTCGCAAGCAATGTAATGGCAACATGCGATGTGTTCGCACGAAAAAACATATATACGAATACGCAAGACAAAATTCGTATACAATGTAACCGCTGCCTAACCCCGTTTATTAGGTGATATAGAAAGCACCGACAATTCCTTTATATATTGGCCATTATTGTCTATGAACTATTTCCATTATTCGGGTAGTTTTATAATTTGTTTGGTTTAGAAGTTCTGTAATTGAACGGCGAGAAACTTGGCGAAGTGATTTTAAGCAGCTGACCAATTTTTTATCGTTAAAAATTGTTGCAAACATTGAAACAAACAGTAATCAGTCGGTTCAAAATCTGGGCTATGTGGTGGATGCATCGACACTTCCTAACTAAGTTCCGTCAATTTGTTCCAAGTTATCAAAAATATGTGCGGCCTGGCATTGTAATGATAGAACACAACTCCTTTTCTATTGGTAAATTCTGGGCGCTTTTCCTTGATTGCTTTGTTTAAGCGGTTGAGTCGTGAGCAGTAGAAGACCGAATTAACTGTTTCACGAGACTGGAGCAGCTCGTAATGGACAATTAGCTTCTAATCCCACCAAACACTCAACAAAGTCTTGTTCGGCTTCAATCCAGGCCTTGAAATCGTTTGTGGAGGCTCACAGGTTTTTGACTATGATCGCTTATATTGGATATTCTCGTATGTAACGCATTTTTCTACACCCTCAATGATTCGCTTCAAAAATAGTTCCATTTTGTTGTAATTCGTATAACCAAATTTCTTTGTGTTAATCATGTGAAACTCACACATCGAGCTTCTTTGTGTAGCCTGCTCTTTCAAGTGATTCCAAACTGTCATGTGGTTGACGCCTCCGCTATCCTGATAGCTTGCATATCAGTCTTGCTCCATCAGTTATTTCGTCGGCTTTTTCACTGACTAATCGACCACAGCATCTCTAACATCCAAATTTCCGGGACAGAATCGAGCGAACCAGGACTGAGTACGGCTTTACTCACAGCATTCTAACTGTAAACCGCACATAATTTTTGGTATGTTTATGCTGCGGTTTTACCTTTTTTTATAGTAATAAAGTATCACATAGTGTATTTCTTTAGATATTTTAGTAATTTTCAAATCAATATTCCTTTCCACACAAGCAACAAAGCTCATTTGACACAATCGGATTAGTGTTGTAAGATATATGGGTATCAACATCATCTAGTGACAAAAAACCGTCAATACTTTTTATATTACCTAATATATACAGTGCACGTTCGGTAGTCGCGACTAATTAAAACTAGAACTGTCGCGAAAACTAAATTTTTGCGATAACCGAACCTAAAATTTTCTTAAAAAAATTTGCATATTTTAGAAAATTTATAGATTTTGTGTTGCTTTTATGGCAAATTACTTTTGATAATAACGGCTGAATCACGTAGTTAATATGGTGTTGCTGTCGACTTGTCATTTTCCAAAGGCGTAATATACCGATGCATGTGTGAAGAACACCGTGGTGTTAAACCATCACGGAAGGTATCCACGTAAAATTTTGGACCTTCATTTCATGAATTCTCAGTTGCCGTTTTCGATATTTCTATTTGGTCCTTATTACTTTCTACCGGAAATTTTCTTGAATGCAATTGTTTATGCCAACCTCTTTGAAGTTATGTTCCGGGCTTATCTCAGCTATATAACTGGCATTCCAAGATTTTTTAATATTTTACGAGGATGTTTTGTCCCAGGACGTAGCTAGAATCTGAATAGCCTTTTTTAAATTGAAATTGTTTAGTTTTAACTGCAAATTTGTCTCTTTCTCGCCTAGCAAATAGATGAGTAGTTGTTTTTTGTAGTGCAATGTAAACAAAAAGATCTTTTGTTTACATTTTTATTTTACCAAATATAATAAAGTTAACAAACATGGGGAATAAATTCGCAATAACACCAGTTCTTGAAAATAAATGATATCATCCACTATATTTGTATATTTCTGGAATACTGCAAAAACCTTTAAGATCTCAAGGATTTTTCGACTTTTCAACCACCAACAATTTTAGTTGGTCTGCGCCATTCGCATTTAAATATAGCAAAAAATTACTCGTTTTTTTCTTGCGGATGCTGTTGTCTCACTATATGTGACAACAGTGTGATTTGGAAGTATCCGATAATGTAAACTGGATTCGTTGGGTTTATCCACCAACCATTTTAGTTTGTCTGTGCCATTCGCATTTAAACATAGCAAAAAAATTATTAGCTTTTTTCTTCCGGATGCTGTTGTCTGTCTCACTATGTGTGACAACAGTGTGATTTCGAAGTATCCGATAATGTAAACTGGATTCGTTGGCGTTGTAGATTTGATCAGCTTTTTCGTTGACTTTAAAATATTTCAAAGTTTTCCTGTATTTAAATAATTAACAGCAAATATCACAATAGACGCAAGGAAACTCATAAAATTGAACACTATAATTCTCTTTGTTCTTTTCTGTGCGAAAGATTCGGGGATATCCCTTATTACTGCTTACATTGAGACAAAAAATGTGGGCTAGCACTGCAATTAAATAAGAAAAGTTGATATATTACAATTTGAAAAAAAAAACAACAAGTCCGAAAATATCACTAATTTTTTTGCCATCTGTCGCCATTATTGGACTTAAAATATTAAAAATCAACCCAGTTATTACGACAACTGGGTCGTCGCGATAATTTTATAATAATAAAACAATTACATAACTTGAGTCTTTATCTCAAATAACTTTTTTTTGGCTTGCACATGATAGTTTGGTATCAAAAACTTTACTTTTAAATTTATTTATAATATTTTTTAATTGTTGAATTTTACATTATCACTATTTTTTCAATAATTTTTAATTTTATCATTTCACTATTTTTTAAGGAACCGTCTGTTATGTAGCAGCTTCATCAGTAGGTTAAAGCGTACCCTCTGAGTGTGGTCAGTCACCACCGACTTTAATATATCTTTTTATATAAACGGTATGCAACCAACGCCTACGACGTTATCTTTAGAGAAAAATATTCCAAAAACTATGCAACAACAACCAACGCAAAATATGGTAAATAATATTTCAAAATTCAATTACGATTGCCTTATATACTAACTTAAAACCATTTAACATTTATTTTATTTTATATTATATTATTTTACAATCCTTATTTTTAATAGTAAGCATAATTTGACGCAATTATAGTAGTCAAATTTCAAATAAATACATATATATTGAGTTGCTCTGAAAGTAATTTCGTTTTTTCCCACAGAGGATTTGAATGTATTATTTTTTCTATGGAATTATGCACTAAATCCGTAATTTTATTATATACTTTAACAACGCAGTTGCTTCTCTGGTGCTATCTTAAATAATTAAACTAGAAAGCAGCATTTTCAAAACTATAAAGCATATATTACTTTTTTCTTTTATTATAAAAAAGATAAATATAGTCTTTAAGCAAGAAATTCGATGTGTAAGGAAATGTATAGAAATGTATGTCAGCCCCAAAACTGACGTGTAAAATTTCGTTCTGTCAATTTTAGTGTTACAACATGCACCACGTTCTAGAAGTTCAACATAATCTTTAGGTCAAAAATTTACTTGTATTCATCTCTGTGGTTTATGGATTTTCATGGATAAGTTCTATGTACTGTCACTAACTGGAGAAATTCACTTAAATATACCTGAATTGTTTAATAGATACAGTTTTTCACTAAGATTGGTGTGTACTACCATACCTACTATATTCCACAGATCTAGAATCTACACATGATGACCCATATCGTTTCTACAAAAGTTTTTGGAATGCAAAACTCTTGAGTACAGATTAGGATAGAAAAGATATGCATCAGTTTTTTGTAGCAAAGATATTAGTTGATATAGTCGACTAAAATTGAGAATATATGATTATGATATAATAACTTACAGTCAGGGACAAAAGTTTAAATACACCTTAAAAATTCAAAGTTTAAATCAAAATAAACATTTCAATAAAACTAAGTTTTACCCTGGATAAATTGCCTCGCTATAAACAAAGGTTTAAAGCAAAAAATTCATTGAAATTCATTTTTTAGAGTTGAAGTGGATCAAGAATTAGAAGTAGGTTATTTCACTTCACTCTTGCACAACAATCACTTTTAAACAAATTAAATTTTTAATTCATCAGTGAAAAGCACAGTTTTTCAAAACTCCATGTCCTTGTATTTACAAATATCTCTGATTTTTTTCACTTGTAAGTGGTCTCTTTCGTGGAATTTTTTTTGAATGGACATGATTGCTCAATTTATAAGCGATGTCACTTGCAAGTTGTGGGGCACTGACAATAATAAAAATGCAACTTATAACAAATTTAGACTTCCAGACTTACCAAATTTGAGAAACCCAGAAATGTAACAGTACTTTTTTTCTTATAAAATAGCCGAAAATGGACCCCAAGTTGAAATTTTTGCAAGTGGCTTTAAACTTTTGTCCCCATCATTTTTTCGTTTTTGTTAAATTAACCGTTATGCTTGCAATAAAGCGAATATTCTTTGTTTTTATTTTTAATAATTTATAAAATTAAAAAAAAATACATACTTACACTTTTATTGAAATGTTTATTTTTGTTTTACCTCTGAATTTTTAGGGTGTATTTAAACTTTTGTGCCTGTCTGTATATACGAGGGTCACTATTTATATTTTGAGCCTTGGCAACACGTATTGTTGTCAGGTGTAATCTGACGTTTCAATACGAAAGTTTGACATAAGCATAATCTACTTTAGATTTTTTGTCAAAAGAGTGTTATTTCTGTTATTTACAGTGATTTGTAAATTGAGTGTTCGCGAAAAAATGGAATTAACGCGAGAAAATTTTCGTGCAATAATTTATTACGACTTTCGACGTGGATTATACAGACCAGAGTGCATTGATCAATTCACTTCCGCATTTGGCAATGAAGCTCCTTCTTTTGCCACGGTGATCGCTGATAAGGCAAGATCATCGTGCGACATAGAGTGAGATTAACGGAATAGTATTCAAAAAAAGATTCTTAAGCACACAAATGCTTAAGAAGTACAATGGCGATGCTTCAAAAGACGTACAGTATGACCTCGAATAATGCAACTAATAGAATTCGGGGATGTTGCAATAATCGATGTTGTTGCAATAATAGAGTTTGGTTTATTTAGTGTATCTAAAGTTTTTAAAACAAATTAAGATACATTAACACAAAGTTTATTAGAAAATAACATGATTACTTAATTTTATTTATAGCAATACAATTGCAATCATACTTTATGATAATAATTTGTTATTTTATTGTACTTGCCTCACTTTTTAGATCTTTAAGTATTACAACTTTTCTAAGAGGTATTGAACTTTCCTCAGACCATTGTGTGCATCTGTTAAGTGCATTTATTGCCATTTTTGTTTTTAAATATAATTACATGGTCTCAGTATCGGAGTCTGAATCGAGTCAAGTTGTTCAGCAAGAGACACAATTTCCATAAAATGAAATTCCATAAAAGATGAGTTGACCCACTCATCCATTTTTTGTTGAGAAGTAATATCTGAACTATTTTCATGATTTCATAATATTCTTATGCACCGAAAGTGTGTTCGCAAATTCTTATGATTGAGTATTAGAAAGCAAATATATAAACATAAGTGACAAATAAAATATTAGGAATGCAAGAGAGAAAAATAACAAAAGTTGGATTCGTCGCGGTAGTCAATTTTCATAATTGCAATATCAAAGGTAACACAGGAAAAATGTAAGAGGTTGCAATAACCAAGGAGTTGCGATATTCGAGGGTTGCATTAATCAAGGTCATAATGTATATAAGAATGTTAGAGTTGACAAATCATGGATATGTGCATATGAGCCGGAACGCTCATACAGTCGACTGTATGGATATTTCAAGATGAACAAATGGTCGCTTGTTTCTTGGGAAAGATTGATCTTATGGCGTTGCAACTTTACCATTATAGGACCATAAAACCATCAATTCCGGATGATATACAACCATTTGTGTACTGCAAGTCTTTAGTGAAATACGGAAAACAAACAAGCGCCGTCGAATGATTCTTCATATTCATCAAGACAACGAGAGTACTCATACATCTCGTCTAACAACCGACTACTTGAACATTCAAAAAATCGAATTGATGGGTCATCCGTCGTTTCCGAACGTCAAAAATAAATTGCGTGCATAACGAATTTAGTCGGCCGGAGAAGCTGTTGTTCATTAAAAACCCATGTTTCGGAGGTGTCTGAAGAAGATTAGAAAAAATGCTTTCACAAATGGTTCAAGAATACTTTAAGAAAATATCCTAGGATAAAATAGAATAGAAATAAACACAGCACCGGCTTCCATGCCCTGCGACCATAGTTGATCTTTTGTGATGAAACAGACCCTAATCGAACAGAATACATTCAGCCTTTTGAATGAAAGCCAGAATGTTAGCTGTTGAGGACCTCCTAATATCAGAAGGGGAGAGAAGTTCTCGAAGAAACATGTTAATATTTAAATTATATTCTATATATAATCAAACATAATAATTTTATTAAATTATACTTATACATAGCCTGTGGTTTTTGACGATATTGTTTGGATAGTATTTCACGTGTTTTCTTTTGTTGTTCAATAAAAAAATTGGTTCAAAATCAGAAAATGGCTGTTAGGATAGATGCGTTAGCTGTGTAGGCTAATGTTTTGATATTTAACACGTATGTTTACAGTAAGAGAAATTCTCATGATTAAAAATTTGAATTGTAAGATATTATATTTAACACAGAATACAATTATTTTTTAACTAATAAAATATTACGACAAGGAAGGAAAAATTTTGATCGCTGGAGATTTTGTTCAGAAGATAGAAAAAAAATATATGTTGCGATGGAAAACATTGTAATTGACATATATTTACTTCAAAAGGTGTTAAAAATTATTGTAATAATTTTGATTATGAATTTGTAGAAAACATTTGTGGTTTTGGCATTGTTAAGAACACAATAATTGTGTATTTATTACTTTAGATAAAGAAGTACTTTAATTGTTATATAATAGAATTGATTAGAAATTAACAGGATATTTGCTCCCAGCTTAGTAGCCTACTGCTCTTTGCATAAAGGAGAAAGATGCTGAAAAAGAAGCTTTTTCAAGAGAGTTTGTTTTCAGTTTGTGATATATTAATTAACAAATAAGTTCCATATTATAATACTTTGATACATTTATACCGCCAACTTTTCAGAGTTAAAATTCGAAAACTTTTCAACGCCGGTAACAAATCCAATAAAGAATATTAAGTCACAATGCATTTACTTTAATTCATAATATCAATATAATTAAATATTATAAATAATAATCTTGGGTGGCATTGACCTAATTGGTAAATTACTGTTACAAATGAAAATTAACAAAAACAACCTAAATTATTTCACGCTTATTATTTAATTATTTATAAAGTATTCTATATTTTGACTTTAAAGTCGTCTTCAGGAAACTGACATTATATATAAATATCCTAATTAACATATTAAAAGACAAAATGGTGTGCGAAGTATAAATACGAGGACGATTTTTCGGCAAATAAACATTTTATTTTTCTACATAATCACCTCTTAGCTGGATACATTTAGTCCACCGTTTTTAATTTTCTTATTCCCTCCAAATAATGACTTTTCTCAAAGCTCTCAAAAAACGCGCCCTCGTATCAAACCGCCCTCGTATCAAACCGCCCTTGTATATATACAGCCATAGTCAAAAGTATTTACACAACTAAAATTTTTGTGCACATTGCTCTAAAATAGATTTTTGTTGTTGTTGTTGGACGTAAATTTCAAAAAAATTTTTGTTGTCACTTAGTTTTATCTATGCAGAACCAAATAAAAAAGAATTGGAAAGATAACTGTTCATTTGACAAAAATATAAGCAACTGCGCTGATGCTTATTATGTTAGTTGTCAAAAGTATTTACATACATTTTTTTCGCGTCAAAAATATTTACACAAAACGTTAATTTCATTTTCTTCTTCTTAATTTATGAACTTTTAAAAAAATTCATCCCCAAAACAAAACCGTGCAACC